CCACGTTCCTGGACCCCAGTTGCTGCCCGATCTCTACTTCAGTGCTCACCTGAGTTCTAGAGTCATCGGGGAACCAGAACTCCCGGCTTTAGGCTGCAAGAGTTTACCGCAGTCCTGCAATTTCCATGTGGAAATCTCTGCCTCTGGTCCTGGGGCTGACGATCTGCTGAGGGTGCAGGTCTCAGCGTCTGTTTCGGGCTCTGCCATCATCTAGTTGTGTGACCTATGACACAACGTGAGTGTATTTTGAAAAACAACAACAACAACAACAAAAACAAAACAATTGGCTCCCCCAACCTGCAAAAGGAGTTTTGTGAACAATAGCGTGTTTGCTTCATAGCAACACTTGACAAACCAACAGACAAATGGATAGACCTGGGAAGAGGGTTCTCAGGCAAGCATAGGTAAGGGCGCCACGGTTACTAGGTGTAGCAATGTGCTTCGTGCCTTCAACAAGTGGCAGCCGAACACTCCATGTGCAAAGGAATTGAGCACCCAGCACACCTTTGGTCAAATATGAAAGTTAACTGCAGAACATCATGATGCCTGAGTGTACAGCAGAGAGCCACATAGCTTCCAGAAGTAAGCACGAGGCTGCAGCTTTGCAACCTTAGAGGAGGGACAGAAAGGCCAGGGAACACGTGAATCAACGTGCTAAATCGAACCTTATTGAGTTTTTCAAAAGCTCTGCTTTCTTATAGGTCACTGTTAAAAAATAAATACATAAATAAAAATGCTGGTACAGCAAGAAAGACCAGCAAGTAGCTGCACCCATTTCCAAGCCTGATGTCCTGAGTTTGATTCCTGGGACCAGCATGGTGGAAGGAGATAACTGATTCTTGCACACATGTGACATTGCACATGTGCACACACACACACACACACACACACACTTTTAAAAGATCTTACCTTTAAAAAGTGAAAAAGATTAATCCCAGCACTCAGGAGACAGAGGCAGGCAGATCTCTGTGAGTTCGAGGCTGGGCTGGACTGACAGCCTCCAAAACAATACAGAGAAACCCTGTCTTGTAAAACCAAAAAAAAAAAAAGTGAAAAAGAAAATACTCATGATATGTATACTAAGAACATTCCCAGGTCTAGAATGTATAAGAATCTCTTAGAGCTGAAAATGAAAAGTGAACCATTTTTGCAAAGACGGAGAGACAGAAAATGATAAAAAAAAGATGTATAAATGATTAACAAGCTCAGAGAAATGCATTAAATGCATTCAGCAACTTAAACTATTGTTTGGAAAAGCCAGTGAAGAGCCATTGCATTAGCAGTAAGCACCTCCTCACCAACAGGAGAGGCTGGGGTGAGCATGTATGCTGGCATAGACAGAGAAACCAGAGTGCCCAGCACCGAGGCGGGCCTAGAACATTTTGTGACTAATCTCAGAAAAGAATGTTCAACACACATTCACTGTACAATCCAGCAGCCCTACTCTTAAATATTTACCCCAGCCCCATGAAAAAATGTCTACACAAAGACTTATCCAGATACTTGATTAAATATCCAGAATAGCTATTTAATATTCCTCAGAGTAGCCAGAAACTAAAATCAGCCTGAATGACCGACCACCCACGGCTGAGAGTGTACATCGCGGTGCTGCATGCGACTTTCCTAGGGAGACAGGAGCCGGCATCTATTCACCCTAAAAGGAAACCAAAGGCAGACCAAGTAATGATACCACTAAAGAAAGCAATGAGCTTGTCCGGGTCACCTACAGGAGTGTGACTGAGGGGTCACCTACAGGAGTGTGACTGAGGGGTCACCTACAGGAGTGTGACTGAGGGGTCACCTACAGGAGTGTGACTGAGGGGTCACCTACAGGAACAGGGAAAACTCAGGACAGCCTGCATCACCCTAGAATCTGTGACTCATGGATGCTGCACCCCTGGAGCTCCGTGCAGTTAGAGTCTCCCTTGTCGTAACTTTGGGGAGGGGCCTTGTGAGTCCCATTCATTTCAGCTTTCCTGTACTTGAGACTTGTATTTACTCCCTGAGTCACCTCCCTATAGGAAGGGGACACCAGTTCAGAGGAAGGGAACAAGTTATAGCCGCTGTTAGACTTCTTTTACTCAGCGATCCACAGAAACAAACCACAGTCACACAACCATGAGAAGACTCAGACCACAAAAGAGTTCACCCACTGTGATTCCATCCATGCAGAATTCGGTACTAAATTCTCTAGTGGTGGCTGTGAGGAATCCGTGGCTCTTGTGGTGGCTGAGAGGAATCCATGGTTTTGTGGTGGCTAAGAGGAATCGTGGCTCTTGTGGTGACTGTGAGGAATTTGTGGCTCTTGTGGTGGCTGAGAGGAATCCATGGTTTTGTGGTGGCTGTGAGGAATCCGTGGCTCTTCTGGTGACTGTGAGGAATTTGTGGCTCTTGTGGTGGCTGTGAGGAATCGTGGCTCTTGTGGGTGAGAGGAATCGTGGCTCTTGTGGTGGCTGTGAGGAATCCATGGTTTTGTGGTGGCTGAGAGGAATCATGGCTCTTGTGGGTGAGAGGAATCGTGGCTCTTGTGGTGGCTGTGAGGAATCCGTGGCTCTTCTGGTGGCTGAGAGGAATCTGTGGCTCTTGTGGTGGGTGAGAGAAATCCATGGTTTTGTGGTGGCTGAGAGGAATCTGTGGCTCCTGAGAACAGGAGTGGTTGGAATGCATGGTGAAATTGTATGATGTGATGTTTGGAAACACCGTGGGAACACGAGTAGAGAATGCACTCTAGGAACGCACACTGAGAGTCTGAGAGACACATGTTTTCCCTCACAGCTGCCTGGGTGCTGCAGTTCCTTGGTACTGGCCAGCACAACACCCCAAGACAAGAACCTTAACTAAGACAAAAAGGTGTGGTGATATATTAATTTATGATTGATTAAAGCTTGTCTGAGGATTCAGACAGCAAAGTCAACCATAAGCTACAGAAGCCAGGCACACACCTTTAATCCCAGCAGCCAGAAGCTAGGAGGTGGTGGCACACACCTTTAATTCCAGGACTCACGCTTAAGAGACAGATGGATCTATGTGAGTCCAAGGCCACCCAGATCTACGCAAGATTGATCCAGTCCTAAAGAGAAACAGCTCACACAAAGATGATCTCAATGCCCGGGATCACACGCCTTTAGTCCCTGCATTAGGGAGGTATATAAGACAGAAGCAAGGTCTCAGTAGGAGGCATTCATTCTCCAGCCACACTGAGGGGAGGGGACAGTTTGAGGCTTGGTGAAGAGCTCATGGATCAGCCCTTTCAGCCTGAGTTAGAGGTGAGAGACAGGCAGTGGCTGGCTGCTTTGCTTTTCTGATCATCAACTTGAAGTTTCAACCCTGGTATCTGTCTCTGGGTCATTTATTTTTCATGCATCAAAAAGGTAAGATTAAGGCAGATCTGTGGGGTCTCATTTTCTAAGAGAATTCATCCCTGGTGTGAGTCCTCCCGCTCACGCACAAAAGCTTTGGGGGCTCCAGCTCCTCACGTGGTCACTTGGAGGCTAGGATAGCGTAGGTTCTCTTCCTGTAGTTGTGATGCGAACAGCCTGAGGAGAGAGGCTTTCACGAATGAAGAGCATAGACCCTAGGAAGTCAAAGCAGCGGGGACTTGACGCGTTTCAGGTCACGTTACTTCCACATCACAAAACAGACGGGAAGCAGACAAACTCAGACACAAACGCTCAGCTTATTAGCAGTTTCTCTCCACCAGTGCTGGCTTTGGCCTGTGTGTCCTTCTTCCTGCTCTTCTGTTTCTCCCTTAGTGCCCAAGGTCCCTCAAAGTCCGCACAGAGTCCCATGCCCAAGCCTGGGCAGCGGAGCCTCATTTCAGCCAAGGAGGTAAGACTGTTGGTGTAAAATGAAACCATCCGTTGGTACTCAGGCCTAGAGCAAGGACCGCACCGACACTGATGGACGGGCGGAGTGCTGGTGTGAACCCCCCCAGTTTCCTCCCAGCACCTCCTCTAGGTCTTCAGCTGTCTCTACCTCCGCTCTCAAGCACAAGTTCTCGGGTCCCATCTCTGCACCCTGGGTCTCGCCGGCCACAGTGTTCCCACCCCAGCCTCCAACTTTTGCTGATCTGACTTAACATTTGGACTTTACGCTGGTGTGTAAGAGTGAAACACGCTCACCGAAGACTGGATGAGAGTATTGACCCCACGTCGTTTTTGCTCGCGAGCTGTCTGCAGACACTCAGCAGCAGCGTAAAGCAACAGCACCAGGTGAAAAGGAAGGGACTCACACTCTGCCCTCTGGAAACAAATATTCAGTAACTACATGAGACACACTCAGTTATAAAACAGACCTGTGCCGGGAGCTTCCTTCTGTCTGGGCCAGAAAGCCAGTGAGCTAGTTCAAGGTGGGTGGAGCTAAGCTCGAGTGGCCAGGAAGTGCGTATTTGGCTTGGGAAGGTCATAACTGACACTGAATTTAGCGGGAAGCCCCCCCCCATCTTAAGTCAAGAAGCATTGGTACTCACCGTTCTTACTAGTTATTACCTTATAACCCGTCCACACCAAAATGCAAAGTCATGAGACAAGAAAAACAATGGATTTACTTTTTCTCAGGGGAAAAGGGAGAAACTGTGTCCTCCAGGCTGACACCACTGCTCTCGTGTTGGCTAAACACCAACTTCTGTCTACTCCTCTGTTATCTCATTTGTGTCCCAGAACTGTCACTGGAGGCAGAGGCTCTTCATTCTTCCTCACCGGACAGAACTGAAGCTGAGGGAAAGCCCTAGCAGTGGCTGGGTAGTTGGGGTTGAAAGCCACCCTGGGGGTTCATGGGTTCACAGCGCTGAGTCTCTTCTAGACCCAGCCCTGCCCTGTCTTTGTCTGACTCTCACTTCAGTTCCCATGAAAAAGCCATTTCCAAGGCTGTCAGAAGGAACAGCCAAATTTTAGAAAAAGCAAAATCCAAACGACCAACAAAACTGTTCCTGGCCACTTGCCTGGGTGAGGCAGATGCCACTTTGTGACTGGGCAGCAGAGTGCTTGTGACTGCGGGAGGAGGTGGCTCAGGAACATCTGTGGCTCAGCTGTCTGTAGATGTCCTGGCGTGGCCTCCTCCCATGGCCTCCTCCCGTGGCCTCCTCCCCTGGCCTCCTGCAACTACCACCAGCCCTTTACTGCTTCCTGGGCAATGTGAAGGGCACATCAAGAGAAAACTGAAATTCAACATGACTTTCATCCCCAACTGAAACTGTACGCTGTCTCAAAAACCTAGGCTGGGATGGGCTTGGCTTGGGGATTTATTACGGTTTAAAAATGAGTAATATGGGGGGGGTCACCAGAAAAGAGAAGTGGCCCCCTGGTTCCTCTGTGCCAGCCCAGAATGCCTAAGGGACGTCTGGGAAAGAAGCCACCTCCTGTCAGGAGGGGGAGAAAGGAAAATGCCCAAGAAGACTTGCTATTCAGGCTTGCAGGGGGGCTGCCTGGCTGTTTCTGGGATCATCTGGGTGTGACGCCACCGTCCCTTCCAATGTATGGAACTGCAGAACTCTCCCACGGATGCTTGCAACCCTGAATTTCAGATTTTTTTTTTTGTGCTCGTATCTCTTTATGGATTGGCATGGGTTGCTTTGGGAAAGAAAGAGGCGGATTCTAAAGGAACAGCCTGGAAAAGGCACCGGAAAACACGAGTCACAACAAGCAGAAACTGGTTGGAGTGGCAGCCGAGAGGTAGCAGCCACCTGGCACCAGCTGGGTGCAGAGCACCGTCCCTCTCTGGACACCTCGCGGGCACCGTCTGGCCTGAAGATGACTTGGACACCAACTCCTATGATCTCTCTTTTTTTTTGAGGTAAGGAAACATAAACAAGCAGGTAGCACAATCTGAAGTGTCACCAGGCTTTTCAGAGACAGGATCCCTAGGGCTACCACATCTTCAGTTGAAAAGATATTCTTAAGTGACAAAGCTGTCATTAGCACTGGTGAGATGGTTCTGTGGGGTGGCAATCCTGTCCACCAGAGCTCAATCTGGGGTCCCATAGTGTGGAAGGAGAGAATCATGTCGGCCTTGGACCTCCTTATAGGTATACCACGTTACACACACACACACACACACACACACACACATACACACACACACATACACACACACACACACGCACGCGCACACGCACGCGCACACACACACGCAAAATAAGTAAATGTAACTTAAGGAAATAACTGTGAAAAGCTATAGTTATTCAGGCATATGTGGGGAAGTCCTGGATACCACCAGAACCAATATCTAAACATAGCTAGTATCTTTTTCTTTAAATGACAGTACACCACTGACTGTTCCAGACCCTGAGGGGGAAGTAAAGGAATCCACACATGGTACACAGTGTCTGCACACAGGGATAGAGACCAGGTCAGGTACAGCTAACCTTAGGCTCTCTTTACCATAAACAAAAGGCACAGCAGGTCGCAGGTCAAGAATTCTGGAACTTTCTCAGGTGAAAGCCAGGCATTGGGCCACTACCTTGGAAGATGTTGACAGTTCCAAGTACGTCTGCCCTCACAACTTGTACAAACCTCAATTTAGACAGGGATTCCTGCGGGTCCCCTGGAAGTGGCCCCCTGGTTCCTCTGTGCCAGCCCAGAATGCCTAAGGGACGTCTGGGAAAGAAGCCACCTCCTGTCAGGAGGGGGAGAAAGGAAAATGCCCAAGAAGACTTGCTATTCAGGCTTGCAGGGGGGCTGCCTGGCTGTTTCTGGGATCATCTGGGTGTGACGCCACCGTCCCTTCCAATGTATGGAACTGCAGAACTCTCCCACGGATGCTTGCAACCCTGAAAACATTTTTTTTGAATATCAAGTTTTAGAATATGGTTTCCAGGAACCCCTCCGCTGAGCCCATGTGTAGGGCTCTGGCGGAGATGGTGCGGGCAGCTCCAGCCACATGGAGAGCCCTGACTCGGCTTCACCAGCCTGCCTGTGAATCCATGATGTCATCCTTTCCCCGAGTTTGGGCTCCCAAGCCCCAGACCACCCACGCTGGCGGCCCATTCTCTCCTGCGTCGCCAGGGAGAGACCTGCCTTTATAAATGGAACAGAGGACTGGCCTGAATTGTTACACAGAAGTGCTGCAGGCCGTGGCGATAAGCATTTGGACATGTGGGCGCGGTGATTTTTTTTTCCTTGTTTGAACGCTGAAACTCTCTTTTAAGGCACAGTGGAAAGGCCTGTGTGCAGAGAGAGGCAGGGAGGTTTTAGGGACAGGCCTGAAAAATCTGAAACAACAGCAGACGAGGTTGAGGAAACACTAAGAGGTCGGGGGGGGGGGGCATTGACAAATAAGAAACACTCTGCCCTGGGTTTAATGCCCTCTGCCGCAGCCACCAGGGAGAAAGAGCAAACAGGTGGAACTCTTTTTTTGCCTGGATAATTAGACATCAGATTTTCATTTAGGATTTTTTTTTCCTGACTGGTCATTAGGAGAGGGAGACTGGGGTATGTGCAGAGGAATACTCGTGTTGCCGAGAGGTCTAAAAGGGGGGGAAATGAGCCAGTTTCAAGCACAGAAAACTGGAGCTCTTGGAGCACTGAGTGTTTTTGCTCAGTCTCCAGCCACAGAAGAGAAAGGAGCGCATTTGGGGTGACAGCGTGAAACTCACCACAAGGGCCTGTGCCATGTGCACATCTAAACGTGTGACAAGGGGCCCCTAGTAAGGGTGTCCGCTGGACAGTGAGGGGGCCTGGGGATTCTCTCCCTGAGGAAGGAGGACCAGAAGGGAAGCCTCCTCCATACACGCACCTGACAACAGCCTTTCCGACGCCCAGAGGAAGCTGAGTCATTGGGGCCGGGATCCAGAAGTGGAATTATGGGAGCCTTGCCCCTCCTCTACATCACAGGCTTCCTTGTCGTGATGTCTGTCTTACTCCAGGCCCCAAGTAATGGGACCAAGTGACCATGAATTGAGGCGATATGAAACCACGATCCCTCATAAGTTAGCCATGCCATGCGTTATGACACATCGACGCAAAACTCATTAACATGATATGCATGGCTATATGTTTGTGTGCATACCTATATAATTGTGTACGTAGATGCATTTACATGTGTGGGGGGGTACATCCCTATGAAGAACTCATCTGAGGAATTTGGAACCAGCGGGTGACCTTTGTCACTGTGGTCTTGAGTCACTGGAGGAGGGTCAGCTATTCTCAGTGAAGTGTCTTGTCTCCTGCACAAGGTGGGTTGCTAAACATATTTTGAGACAGAGGCACAAGAAACATATTTTGAGACCTCTCTGTCGGCTACATACAAATGCATATTCTCCTAGAGGCAGAAACGCGAGTGGGCTGAGCCCCAGTGTGATGAGAAAGGGTAGCAGCCGCATATACCGTGACAACGGCAGGTAACATACCGTGATGACAGCAGGTAGCATACCGTGACGACGGCAGCCCAATTGGACGCCACTGTTGGGTAGCCTCAGACGTTCACAGAGTGAAGAATACTTCACTAGGTCATGTCTTATACAAAAAGAGAAAGGAAAAACCATCAGAAAGCTTTGTGAGCAGGCCAAGTGCCGCCTGCCTAGCACGCCCTCCCCCCGCCAGCAACCTCCATTCTCATGTGGCATCCACCACCTCCCCAGCCCGTGTGGACTCTGCTGTCATGGAGACTCAAGAGGCACATGCCGCTGCGGTCTACTCTCCTGGCCACGGCTACTGGCCTAGGGTGAGCACGTCACCTAACCGATGTGTCAGCGTGACCTTCGAAACTCTTTCTGGGAAAGCCGGGACAGAAGCACTCTCTCCTCCCCTGAATTGTCAAGGTCGAGGTGTGAGCCTAGGCCAGCAATGGTCATTCCATTGCTGGAACAGAGCCCACCGTGCAGGACATAGCCCAGAGCATCTTAAATAAACGAACCTGGGCCCCAGGATGAGATGAGTCAGGAACTCAGCTGCAAGGGCGACTTAGCAGGGTATGCTCCTGCTCCAAGCCTCAGTGCTGCCGTCCAGAAGATGGGCACAGATGAAACGTCTGAGCAACCCCACGCCTTTCCAGGTGCATCACTGAGGCTATGACTAGTTCTAAGATGTACTCCCCTTTGACGTGTGGCCTGGAAAGGCATCCACCTTACCCCAGGACAGTTCACAGCTTTGTTGCAGAGAGGACGTGACCATAGATTCTAGAAGTCAGAAAGAAAAGCACTCTGGAGGGAAAGAATTCTGCAGACGAGGCAGAGGAGACAGCTGCTCACTCAAAACCCGAGAATGTGGCACAGCCAAAGCGTGGCGTGTCACAGAAAAATGACAAGTGTGCTGTGGAGCTCCGCGTGTCATCACAGGACTTCCACTGAGCCATGACCACCTTTCCACTGGCCCCAGATCATCTTCACCATCCTATGGAGGCCGTGATGGGAAACACTAATGGGAATCCTTGCCCCAACAGACACACGCATGTGCCTTGGCCAAGAACACAATGTCCTCTGTTGATGGGAGATGTCATTCTGTAAGTCTGTCTCTTATTGGTTGTTGAATAAAGCACTGTTGGCCAATAGGGAAGCAAGATAGGTGGGACTAGGAGTCCGAGGAGGATTCTGGGAAAGAGAAGCAGAGTCAGACACCATGTAGACTGCCAGAGTAAGAGGTCCGGACCCTTTTCTCCGTAAGAGAAACACTTAGATTAACAATTATGGATTAAATACTTATGTCAGAGCTAGCCAGTAAGAAACAAGCAAACGGCCAACAGCTTCATAATTAATATAGCGTCCTGTGTTATTTGGGGGGTTCAGACAGCGCGGCAGGGCCCAGGCAACTGGCAAGAAAGACTACACTCTACACTCTGTCTCCTTCGTCACCTTCTTTCTGGCATCCCAGTCCGTGCTGTACTAGGACCTGGGTTGTTTGTGGTGTTAAGTAGCTTGTGTCTGTTCTCAGGGTGTGGCCACTTCTCTCCGTTCTGTGAATAAAGTAAGCTCCGATCCACCCTAGCTCCCAGCTTCTTCCTGCCTGTGTCAGGCCTTCTCAGGACCCGGCTGTCAGACCGGTGCAGTGGTGTAGGCCTTGAATTTCAGCACTCGGGAGGCAGAATCTTCAGCCTGCGAATTCCAGGCCAACGTGGTCAAAGGTAGGATGCTGACTTCTAAAAAACAAAGCAAAACAACAACAAATATATAATATATATACATTATATTTAATATATGTGTATATTATGTTTAATATATATGTATTGAGAAAGGTGCAGGGAAACAGCTTAACTATCTGCCTATGCCCCTTGTGTTACCCCTGTGTGAGGCAATGTGCTCTCCTGTGCCCCATTTCTTCCCTTCCCTGTGTGCCCCCATGTGACCCCCACATTTAAATCAACTCTTTGTCACAGGTCTCAGTCAAATGGCAAGCACAGACACCCACTAAGTGACACCCACTAAGACACGAGGCCCCAGAAAACCCACCGTACTCTCAAAACAGCCCCATTTGCAGTAAGTGGCTCTCCAGCAAGCCACACCAACCTTCTAAATTTCAAGCCATGTGAAATTTTTATTGCCTTTCTTGCAAAGGAATTTCTTCCACAGAACTCCAAAATAACTTCTGAACCCCGGAGCCTCACCTGCAAACAGCTGGTCTATATTTTAAGGGGTCTAACTAATTTTTTTTGTGGAATGCTAAGATCGTCCGTAGGAGACGTGGAAACAGCTTAATTTCCCACCCCGCAAATGAACAGGCGGAGAGCACAGGGTCTCTCTGGGACTCTGTATGACTTCATGGGATGACATCTGCCAAGAGAACATTAGAAAAAGCAAGCAAACTCAGCAGCCAGATTCCATGGCAACAGCTGGCCCGCCACAGGTGTTGGCCAGGGAAGAACTCCTCCAGTCCTGCATAAATGTTCCAGAGAGTTCTTTATTATTTTAAACACCACGTTCAGAGAGAGCTTAATTTGCTCAGATCCAAAACATCCCCCAAGGGCAGAGTACAGAGTAAACAAGGCTGGGGGAGAAAGTCCTGTCCACCTAATTTTTAATTTGCAAGGCGGAGCTGTTACAAAACAAAGCCACTTGATTTCTGACGGCAGTGCCGCTTTGGTGGAAAATAGTCTCTCAGTGAAGCCGGCCATGACAGGGTGACACCGCTGGTGTTGTAGACAAACTCAGCGTTATCTTTCTTGCTTGGTGTGAGAGGCAAGCTCCAGAGAGAAGGGTGGACATCCAGCAGCAGAGCCCGTGGGACCGGAAGCCGCCTCGCTAGGGGGGCCCAGGCTCCTTTCTGTCTTCTGAGCTCCAAAAGCGTGAGTGAAAAACTCACCCAGAGCCATACATCTCAGAGGTTCTGATCTCTGCTCGACCCAACAGTGTGCCTGAGACCAGGTGTGAGGCCCTTGTGCCAGAGCGAGCCTCTGTCCCCACGTGTAGGGTTCACTCACGCTCTCTCTCGCTCGCTCACTCCTTCAGCTCTCTCGCTTGCTGGATCAGTCTCTCACTCACTCCTTCATCGGGTGTCGTCATCACCCAGCCCGTAAACAATGTAAAACAAAGTTGCACATTGGCAATTAGACACACCCTGATTCTGCAGGCTGTGTTTAGACTGGAAGACTGACAGGAAGTGACTGACACACAGGGGCTCGTCGGTTCCCTCCGAGGTGTGCAAGTACTGAGACCACAGGATGGCTCCTTTGGTGGCAGCTCAGCCACTCACTGTGCCATTGGAGACAGATCGCTCAAGCCCATGGCCTTCAGGATCCACCTCTGCCACCCCTCTGAGTAGTTGGGGAAACAACCCTGCAACCCTAGCTAGGAAAATCCAAGACTTCTCTAGGACGGTCCCCACCTTGTTTAGGATAACAGACTGTGCTTCTGCTCATGGGCGATGCCCGCCACTGCCTCCCAGAGAAGAGTAAGGATGAGGCCAACACACAGACAGCGTTGTGCTCCAGACACAGACCATGCAGGCCATCCACACCTGAGGCTTTTCGGTAACCTGAAGATCTGATACACACACTCCCTGTCTCCGTTTGTTTCGTGTTCCTCGAGCTCACCTGGACCAGGCAGTTGTCACCTGTCACTATGGAAGTGTTGTTTGATATATACATACCAAAATATAGGTAAGTAAAGGAGCTCGCTATCAGAGAGAGAGACAGACAGACAGACAGAAAGACAGACAGACAGACAGAGAGGCATAGAGAGACAGAAAAAGAGGCAGAGAGACAGAGAAACAGAGAGAGAGAGAGAGAGAGAGAGGGTGCCCCAGCCAAGGCCATGGGCATGAGGGAGGCTTCCTAGTAAGAGATAACGGAGCCATAATTAACAACAGGACTCCGATTCCCTTCCCCTTATCAAACGAACAAGCCCCCCCCCTTTCTCTTTCACACACACAGCAAGGAATAGGATGTGCAGCAGGGTGAGCGGCCAGGTTCGTGGGAGCAATATCCGGTGTGATGGGGGTGAGTGGACCAAGGAGCTGTCCCAAGAGGACACTCAGGGCTTGCACTGCCAGATTGCGGGGCATCTCCAAGGACCGTGAGGTCGGCTGTGCTTCTGTCTGCATCCCTCTTAACTGACTGCAGGACTGTGGTCACCAGCCAAGCCCTTCCCTTCTGAGGACTCTGCTCACGGGTACCTCCAACGCTGCTCCTGTGTGGGAGTGTAGGAGAGCACCCCCAGAAAGGCTGGGTCAGGCAAGCAGGCATCTTCTCCAGCAAGAGCCCGAAGCGTCTCCGGCTTGGAGGCTGAAGCAGCCACATGAGAGACAGTGTGACCTTCCAGGGGTGTGACTCACAGGCCTGAAAGTCCCCAGCCTCCTCTGTGGAAAGCACTGGGCAGTGGGAGGGGCCTGCTGTCTTCACACAGGTCCCCAGTTTGTTGAGAACCCAGCTGAGGCCACACTCTCACCATGTAGCTCTCAAAGCCAGAAAAGCAATGTTTGCAGAGAGTACAAAAAAATTTACAAACAACAATTTCTCTTGAACCCACAACAACGAACGTTTGTACAGTAGACTTTTAAAAAAAAGATTTACTTATTTGTATCTGCATGTGCCCAAGTGCTTGCCTGCATGTATCTATGTGCACTACGTGTGCCGAGTATCCTCAGAGTCTAGAGGAGGATTTCAGGTCCTCTTGAACTGCAGTGACAGAGAGTTGTGAGGTGTCCTGTGGGGACAGAGCCCCAGCCCTCTACAGGAGCAGCAAGTGGCTCCTAACCGCTGAGCCATCTCCCCAGCCCCTACTGGAAATTTTAATGAAAGTATTCCCTATAACCCATTTATATGTAAACATTTTAATACCTACTAAAAATTATTTCCTGACTAATTATATCCCCAAGCTTCATCTGGGAGACTGGGCCACTGTTATGCTTCTTTTTTCCCTTTTACGTATTACCAGTCTTTCAGTAAGGCAGCTGGCGGTTGTGTGTGTGTGTGTGTGTGTGTGTGTGTCTGTGTGTCTGTGTGCAAGTGTGGATGGGAACTGGATATCTATTTTTGTTGTTTCTGTCTTCTTTGTCAAACTCACGAACATCACTTTACGCTGTCCAGGCTGTCCCGGGACTATGGCCACCTCTCAGCTGCCTGTCGGGCCTCATGGCTGTCCTGATAGCCTCCAGCCTCCCGCCTCTCTGCTCTCAGGCCCATCGCTGCTCAGAAGATCAACTGCATTTTAATTATCCCGTCAAATTTGGGCTTACCACTGGTTCTCCCGCTGGGAAAAGGCATAAAGATGGAAGCAAAAAGCTCAGTCACAGGCAAGTGAAGGAAACGCTGGGGAGATGGCCCGTCAGGCACGTGGGAGCTCTGCTCTCACAGAGGACCCAGCTTGGCTCCCAGAACCCACATCAGGTGACTCACAACTGTCCAGGGGACCTGGCACCCTCTTCTGGGCTCCAACAACAACTATCCACATGTGCTCCTCCCCCCACACACCTGCACAGACACACATAAATAAAAATAAAATAGTTCTCAAAGTCAAGGAAGTTTATTTCTTCCCAACATGATTATGTAACCAGAAGCTGAAGGGGATGATAAAAAGAAATCAGTGTAACTAATACAAAAAAAGTGTTTTGTTTTGTTTTTTATCAGTATCACAGAAATTCCCAGAGGGCAATTATTTCCTAAAAACTTATAAATTACTGATCAAGATCTACCTTGGACAAAAGCTGTCCATCTTCGGGGCACCATGGAGCTGCACCCCTGACTCTGCAGAATTTAGATGGTGCCCCAAAAGCTCACACCACCTCCTAGGGAAGTAGCCTCCAGGGGCTCCAAAGGAAGCTCAGTTTGTAGAGCACCTAGTAGCAAGCAGGAAGCCCTGGGCACCATCCCCGGTGTGTTACACACATGCCGTCGCGGCACAAGGTCCCAGCACTTGGACGGTGGAAGCAGGATCAGAAGTTCATGGTCGTCTGCTGCACAGTGAGTGAAAGGACGGTCTACGACGCATGTTCTCCAAGAGAAACAAACTCAGCAGTCTCTTCTAACAAAGGAAGCTCTGGCCTAGCACGTGGGAAAGGCAAGGTGTAGACGTCTCCAGAGACCTGAGCCTCGATCACAAAATGAGTGTTCAAGCTATTTCCCTGCCCGCTCCAGGCAAGGCCTTCTTCCTCCCTCCCTCCTAGTAGAGGGTTAGCAACTCCAGACACTTCTCTGCAGGGTGCTCGGGAGCAAATTTCTTGCAGGTTTTCTGTGCACCCTACTGGGTAGACTTCCCCAGGGATGCAAAGGCCTGCTCCCCAGAAGCATTTAATCTTCCGCTTCCTGTGTGGGGACAGGGCTCGGTCGCTTTAATAAATGAAGAAGCAAGTTTACTGTCTCCATCGACCAGGTTTGCCGCATCGCGAGAGGGCCCCCCTGCTGCCAGTTGGCCATTTCAGTCCAAGCCTCCTAGGCTGGCTGCAAGCATTTTCTTGGTTTCATCCTCAGACGTTTATGCTGATACCAGCCGAGCAAGCAGACTCCCCTGAAGATGGAGAGCAGTATGGGGCGTGCAAGTGAGGGCGGTGGTCGTAGCAGAGAAAGAGTGTGGTGTGAGAGACAGGGACGGGAACAAACCCAAGCTCAGGTCAAGAGCTGAGGAAGAAGGGGGCGCCGCCTGATGAGAGCAGGGGCACAGATCAAAGAGGCAGATAATTCATATCCCACGGGACCCACAGGAGACTGACTCCAGGACGCCTCGCTCTTCCTGGGAATACCCAAATGCCAGATGCTCAAGTCCCTAAAAAAAAAAAAAAGGCATAGTGTTTCTGTACATGCTACATACATGCCCACGCTCTAAGTAATCTCCAGGTACGGCAGAGCACGTTGGCCCAGCGGCTGCCAGTAATGTGTGTGTTAGGGAATGATGGCATTCAAAATCTGCACGTGCACAGCAGTGTCCCTCTCTTTTCGTTATTTTTGATCCCGGGTTGGCTAATAAGCAGGCATGTTTAAAAAGCATGCTGTGGGCTCCCAGCCACACCCTTCAGTTCCCAGGATTCTCAGCTTCTGCTATTAAAACAAATCATGGAACAGCACCATCATCAGAGGCAGAGGACTAGTGAGTTCTCAGCCCTTGAAGGGTGTGCATGAGGTCATGAGACAGTTCCCTCCCCAAGTGCAGGGCCCCGCTTAGGTGTGGCTCAGCTATGGCTGCCACGGATGCTGAGGCACCAGGCTCTAACTGACAACAGGAAGCCCGTTGGATGAATCTGCTGGAGTGGTGGTTAGCCTTGCACTGCCAGTTTGAAACAACCTAGCGGTCTAGGAGGATAGTGTCAATAAGAGCTTGACTATGTTGAGCTGACCTGTGGGCTTTTCTGGAAGAGGGGGTTGGATTATCTTAATTTAATGAATGGGGGAAGGCCTGCCCACTGTGGGTAGCACCACTCCCTAGGCAGCGGTTCCGAACTTTGGAAGAGTGGAGAGATTTCCCTGAGCACACCTGAGCAGGCATGTGATCATGCGTGAATGCATTTCCTCTGCTTTCAGCTGTGGCTATTACGTGGCCGGTGAACTGTGCTCCTGCCCCTGGGGCTTCTCCACCGAGGTAGTCTGCGACCTCAAACTGTGAGCTGAAATAAATCCCTTCTTCTCCCAAAGCTGCTTTGCTTTGGGATATTTTATCACAGCAGCAGAAATTAGGACAGTTGAGTTAAATGAGAATTCCTGTTTAAGGTAATTCGTAACAGCGGCAATTATACAATTTCTGAAAAGGAAACACACTAGATGCCAGATGTTACACAAGCCTCTTTTCATTAGAGCTAAGACCAGAGAAGCCCAAAACCCCAGTGCTTAAATATTTAACAATACAGATAAATGCTTGGAAACACCCCAAGTGAGAGTCTGATGGGCAAACGGCAGGTCACTGAGCTTTATTCAGCACCACCACTGGCTGGGAAAAGACAAATCAAGAGAGGCAATGGTCTAAAATACTGACATCCATTGCCCCTGATAAGTAGCATTTGCTCATCTCTTCTTCCAACTGTTTAACAATAAGCATGTAATATTGCTGCAGTTGGAAGGAAGGCAGGAAATATTGGCAGGAGCTTGCATTTTCTTTCCCATGTGCTCAGCGGAACCACACAGCATCCCTGTGCAAATGGAGGGCTGATGTCCCTGAGAATTGCAGAAATGTAAATTCTTCTGTGACGTCCATCAGTCCTTTTCTCTGAGAAGGGGGCGCGGGCACAGACACGCATGCTGTTCTTGTTTTCTCCTGCTTCGCATCCCTGAATACGTGGGAGTTTGGCCCATAGTGCACAATTCCAGCCGTGCCCCAATCTGGGAGCATTTTGTGTCTGTGAAACGCAAGCTGTGGCTCCCGAGGGAGAGGACACTGCAAGCTTCCTGCCTCCTGGAAGGACACACAGCCCTGTGTGCAGACGCCTGGCCACTCCAGCCAGAAAACAAGAGTGGCTGGGAGAAGCTACCAGACGTCTGCAATAGCTGGTCGCTGCCCCGCAAAATGAATGTGTTTTTCCTCACCAGAAGCAGAAGAAGACTGGAAGAGGGTGTCTTCATTGCCACTCCCCCCACACACCCTGAAAGAGTTGTGGATTTACTGAGAATTTGAGGAGACCAGACAATGGGAGATGGCTGTAATTGATGTCTGTACAGGTGTGTGTTTATTTTTGACCACCTCTGTGTCCTTGCTGTTGGGGGAAGTCCTGTGCATTTGTCAATAAAGTACTGTTGAGCCTATAGGGAACCAAGATAGGAGGGACTAGGAGTCCAGGAGAACTCTGGGAAGGAGAAACACAGGGAGTCAACATGTAACGCCATGGGGGTAGGAAGCCTGGAACTATTCTCCGGTAAGAAACATACTTACATTAACAATTATGGGGTAATTACTTAAGTCAGAGCTAGCTAGAAAGAAACAAGCAAGGCCAACAGCTTCATAATGAATATAGCCTCCTGTGTGTTTATTTGGGACTGACGCGGCTCTGGAACCAAGCTGGCGGGAAGGCTGCCCTCACAAGAAAAAGCTTCTCTTTACAAAATGGTGTCAGGAGTGGGATGGAATGTGCTTTGGGATGTTCCCAAGACCCGTTCAGTTAGATTCTCTGGGGACCCAGGCTCTACCCCTATCTTTCCACAGGTGTGTGGATGACCCCAGCGCTCACTAAAGACGAGGAATGACCTCTGCAGGGACACTAAACAACAGCCTTCAAGCATAGGATTGAGCTATCAACAGCTCAGTGACAGAGCACTTGACTTGCAGGGTAAGGACCTGTGTTGGATCCCCAAAGCCCTCATTGAAAGAAAAAAGAAGCCATCAGTGTGGCAGTCTTACCAATCTCGGTACTAGGGAGGCATAACACGAAGACCCTGGGGCCAACCAGCCCGGCCTATCAGGTGAGTTCCCAGCTAGAGGATTAAAAAAACAAGGTAGACAAGGCAGCGTCTGAAGATGTCACTGGATGTGGTCTTCTGAGCGCTACGCACATGTAAACACATGTGTACATGTGCAAATGCACCCACATGCTCACAAACACACACACACACACACACACACACACACACACACTCTAGCTCATCTAAGAGTGGTGCCACATGTCTGTAATCGTAGCCCTCTGGGGACTAAGACAGGAATATCATGAGTTCAAGTCTAGTCAGGGACACAGTGAGACCTTGTCTCAAAACAAAACAAAGAAATGCGGATCTGGCTCTTCCAGAGGCCCCAAGTTGGGTGGTTCATAAGCACCTATTACTGCAGCCTCAGGGGATCTGATGCCCTCTTCTGCCTTCTGTAGGTACACGAACAAACACGCACATACACGCGCGTGCATGCACATGCACGGACACACACACACAGATACACACACACACAAAACAAACCTTTAAAAAACAACAAAAACATTGTATATAACATTAGCAGTAGAGGTTCACTTTAGGTACACTTGAGATTATCTTTTGAAATGACTGACGTCTTGGCTAGGAAGAGCTACGCGCTGCTGCTATTTCACTTCGTCGATGGGAACCAAACACTCAAGACACTCGAGGGTACACTCAGTTGTTGCAGACGCAGCCGCCATATAACTCAGCCTGACAAGCCGGATCAGGCTCTGGGAGGAAGGGAACAGAAGACCATCCCTTTGGTGACCAAACGCCTTTTGCATATTAACCGCTCGTGTTGACTTCCTGTGGGGAACTGGAGAGTCCAATCACCGCAAACATGAAGGTCAACAGCCACACTTGGGGGACTTTCGTGCCGAATTCAATCAAGCCAGCACGGGGCTGGGGTTGGGGGAGGGATGTTGCTTCATGCATGAAGTCCTGGGTTTGGTCCCCAGCACTGTATAAACAGGACGAAATGACACTCAAGCCTCACACTCAGGAGGCCCAGGCAAGAAGATCAGAAGTTCAAGGCCATCCTCAGCTACCCTAGCAAGTTTGAGCCCGGTGTGGGCGACACGAGATATTTTATCTCTAGTTAGATAAGTTTAATTTAGCGATTGTGTACCCGGATCTTCATCTTCCTAGACAGCTCTTTACAGGTCAGGCGGAGGACGGTTCTGCTGTGTAAGGGGATTCGCCCCATACCCAGCTATAAAGACCCACTGTTCGTTTCTCTTGATTCTGAGCCATTGTGCCACCTGGTCTGAAAGTCCGGGAAATGGCCCATTGGCCTTAAGAGCCCAGAGAGGGAGGAGGAGAGAGCTCGGGACTCTGCTGTGCTCCTCCAGACATGAGGCAATCCGGGCTCTTCCCAGCCTGCTGGAGCCTGCTGGCTTAGCAAGCTCTAAGCTGAGCTCAGGAAGCCATTCCCTCTTTTCCTCCCCCCCCCACCTCCTCCACCCACACAGTACCTTAACCCTTTCAGTTTTGTGGTGCCCGAGCAGCCACACCAGGCAGTAGCGGTATGTCGGTTTTCACTTTGCAGCACGGCCGCCCTCGTCCCCCAATCACCCCAGCAACCTAAAGAAGAGAGAAAAGGGCACCAAAGAATGACAGTGGCCATCTGGAATGCATAACTCGGACAGACCTGCAACGTATTACATGGTCTGGAAAAGTGGCTGGGCGAATTCCAGGGCTCAGATAGACTTCAAAGTCTGGCCGCACATCAGTGAAACGGCCGATCTGCTCTGATATTTAAAGTGGGTGTACACGAATGAATTTATTACACTTTTTTATCTTCTGGGCTCAGATGGGGGGGGAACAGGATCATAGGCAAGTTTGCCTTTAATTTCACGCTGCACGTTCCCCCTAGATTTTAGCTTTTTTTCCCCCCCTCCCTAATGTGGTACTGTTTCTTGACTTTCTTCATCTGAACCGCCACATACCTTCCTTATCTCTACTGTGTGTCAAAAAACGGACTGAGGCGTTTGGACAGTGTAGCTGAACAGGGTCATCTGATCGTGAGATGTTTTGCAGGAAGGGTCTCAATTCCAAAGATACATATATCTGCATGTAAGCCCATAGTCTCTTGCCCTGTTCCCTTATGTTCTCTCTCACTCACTGATTCATTCATTCACTCATTCACTCACTCACTCACTCACTCACTCTCCGTGCTCTCTCTTGCTCTCCATGTTAAATGTGGGGGCCTGGACCCTGCTGCATGGTATTCATTTCTATAGCTAGATCAGCTGTGCCAGTTGAGTTCCCTAAGACAATTAAAAGTCAAACCTGGGCTCTGCAGCTACCTGGAGACACTGAGCCATGTCCTGCTGGCAGAAACTCCCTTCAGGAAGGCACAAGATTCATTCTTCAGGGCTCACCACCTCCAAATACCTTTGAGAAGCAGGCATCTTCTCACTCAGGCAAACTTGGCCTCGTTCAGCTTCATGTAAAACTTACCTTGTCCATCCAAGAACCTGAGCAAATGTGATCCCATGCCAACCGCAAGGCAAATATCCGCACCCCTCTGCCTCTCGGAGTCTTGGGCCTCTGCGACTGATCTCCAGCCCGTGCTCTGCTGGGTGTCTGGGGACTCAGAGGAAAGGAAACGCTTCTATATGCACATAAAGGTTAGGAGCAGAGCCAAAGGATGGAGCCAGTGTCATCATTGTAACCTCCAGCTATTGCTTCTCTCTACTATGCCAAATGCACATTTGAACTGTTTTGGATTTACATGTTGATTACACTATTACAACGTGGCTGGAATCCCTATGAAAGCATTCGTCATTGAGAGCAGCCTGGAGGCTCCTGATGTAGCTAAAGTGCATGGTACAGCATACCTAACCTTACGGTCACACACAGACAGAAAGAGGGATCAGCGTGTCGCTCGGACAGATGCCCTCCAGCTCACGGCACCTGCCATTGCCACTGCGTCAGCCAGCTGTCAGTCGCTGTGACAAAGCGACTGAGGGAGTCAGCTTTATGAGGAGGGAAAGTCAATTTGGCTCCCAGCTTCAGAGACCTCAGTGCAGTCACATGGCTCTACCATTCTGGAGTCTGTGACGAGGTGGGAGTCGTTGCAAGATTGTTTATGACCGATTAAAGCCGCTGGAGATCAAAATAGCAAAGTCACCATACTAGTCAGCCACAGGAGCTAGGCAGTGGTGGCACACGCCTTTATTCCCAGGACTCAGGATTGAGAGGTAGACGGATCTCAGTTAGTTCAAGGCCACACTGAGTACACTGCCTAGTCCTAAAAGAAACAGCTCTCACACAAAGGCGATCTCAGCACTTGGGATCACATGCCTTTAATCCCCGCACTAGGAAGATGGAGAGAGGAGTGATATGGCTGGGTGGAGAAAGGAATAAAAGGCAGAAGGAGACAGAACCTGGGAGCCTTTCGCCTCTGAGGATTCGTGGAGACAGGATTGCCATTTCAGCTGCGTGAAGGTAAGACCTGCTGGCTGGGCTGCTTTGTTTCTCTGATCTTCAGCTTGCAGCTTGAACCCCAATGTCTGTCTCTGGGTCCTTTTATTTATTGTGCCACAGCGAGGAGGTGAGAGCCGCTCACACTGTGACATCCAGGAAGCAGAGCAAGAGGAGCTGAGATTCCAGTATCTTCTTCCAGGACAAGCCCCCAGCGACATAACTTTCTTCCAGGAGACATAAGCCATTATCAGTGCTGCAGGCAGCTGCCGGAGTCACTGGCCTGTAGGGGACACTGAGAGCCAAGACACATGCTCACAACAGTTAAGGCAGTCACACAACATATAGAAGTGTGAGATGCGTGTGTGTGTGTGTGTGTGTGTGTGTGTCCATGCGTGTATTGTGGATTACTAATTTAAGATGTGTTGCGTCTGTTTATTCCTGTGGAATGTTTGTTTAATGATGCAAAGACACGTTACATTTGTTTGATTAAATAAAATTAACCTGGGGTCAGGAGCTTGAGTCAGCAACTAACTGACAGGAAATGGTAGAGAGGAACCATGTGTAGCCAGGGTTCTTAAGTGGGGGCTGAGCAGAAGGAAGGGCTGTTTGGGGGAAGACTTGGGCTAGGAGAGGTTAGCTACTTGCTTTTCAGCATCTCTGAGCAAGCAGGATTTCATCTCAGTCTCTAAATCCTGAGTTCTACAGAGGGGGTAGAGATCTAGGTAAAGTTCCCTTTATTGGCCAGGATAGAGCCAGTGTCTGAGGGAACAGAATTCCCACCTGGCTATGGCCAGTGTAGCCTAACCGCTACTGGTAGCTGTGAAGTTGCAATCCCATGGATTAGAATCGCAGTTGTTTAAGGGGCAGCTACTGAAGTTAATTAAAATAAACATTTGGCACCCCATGTGGGGCACCAAAGTGTTGTTGTTTGTTTTTTTGCTCCTTACTCCTTGGGGGGCCGCCACCCAGATCTCAAATTAATCACACATGGAGACTTTTTCTTTCTTATGAATGCCCCGCCTTAGCATAGGCTTATTTCTTGCCATCTTTTTTCAGCTTAAATTATCCCATCTACCTTTTGCTTCTGGGCTTTTATCTTTCTCTATTTCTGTATATCTCTCTTCACTTCTTACTTCTTGTCTGGCTGTGTAGCTGGATGACTGGCCCCTGGAGTCCTCTTCCTTTTCTCGCTCCTCACTCCTCTCCTTCCAGGGTTCTCCTCCTATCTATGCTCTCTGCCTGTCAGCCCCGCCTATCCTCTCTCCTGCCTAGCTATTGGCCGTTCAGCTCTTTACTAGACCAATCTGGTGTTTGAGGCAGGCAAAATAATACAACTTCACAGAGATAAACAAATGTAACATAAAAGAATGCAACATATCTTTGCACCTGTGAAACAAATGTCGCACAGCATAAACAAATGTAACACATCTTAACTAATATGCATGTGTGTATTAAGGAGGGAAAGTGTATCAAGGTATAAAGGAAACAAGATCTTAAGATCTCATCACCTGGACCAGAACCAGCGCCAAGTGAAAGAAGCTGGACGCATAATGAAAATCACCGATTTACACGTGCAATCTTTAAATATGCCAATCCCTAAAAATGCAGAACAACAGATAGAGTTCCCAGGGTGTGGCAGGTGAGATGGGGAGTTCCAAATCAAAGCGCACACATGTCTGTTAAGAAGGACAAGCTCGCCAGGCATTGGTGGTACACGCCTTTAATCCCAGCACTGGAGAGAAAGAGGCAGGTGGATCTCTGTGAGTGAGTTCCAGGACAGGCTCCAAAGCTACACAGAGAATCTCTGTCTCCAAAAAACAAAAATAAAAGAAAGAAAGAAAACAAAAGAAGGACGAGCTACAGAGAGTTGAGGGCTGAAGCTGAGAATGTGTGAAGGTGTTCTTGCTACAAACACATATGTGAGGCTGTGTGTGTGAATCTGTATGGCCCTCTAGACCCTTTTTGCTGAGTGTAAACGTATCAACATGCTATTCTACATTGCCAGTGTGTGCAGCGAAGCAAAATAAGCCAAGAAAAAGTGGAGCATAAACAAAACAAACAAAGTGAACCCGACCTGGGGACAGAGGGGTCCCGCTCGACCTTCAGCTCTCCCCACCAGTTCCTGATCTCTTCTTCATGGTTATTTCTTTATGTTTATTTATTTGTGTGTGGGAAAGGAAGAGAGAAGGTTTGCACATTCGTGTGCAAGTGTCCTCCTATAGACACATGGGGAAGCCAGAAGGATGGAGTGTCCTTCTCAGTCTACAAATTCAAGTTTCTCACTGACTCTGGGTCTCTTGTTTTCTCAGCTATATGGGAAGCCAAGAAGCCCAGGGTCTTTCCTGCCCCCTCCATCCTTGGAGCTAGAAGTAAAGGTTTACGTGGGAGGAAGAAGAAGAGGAAGATATGGAGAAAAAGAAGGAAGGGGAGTAGGAAGAGAAGAAAGAAAACAAGAGGAAGAAGATGGAGGAGGAGGAGGGAGGGGAGGAAGGGGAAGGGGAGGAACCTTGCATCACCATAGGAACTCCAGAACAAAGCCTGAGATGCTCCCTCTGGTAGTGATTATCTGGTAGAATAGTTCCCATGCTTTCTCCAGCCAAGGGTCCACTTTCCACTCTGGCAGCTTTGTCGGTAGGGCTATGAAAAGGATTTCCAGCTGATGCCTCCCCCCCACACACACACACAAAGGCTCAGACTCATGCATTTTATTTCCCTCCAAGTGAATTCCCTTTGGATCTGAGCATGTTCAAAGACACACGTGGAAGACAGCCATGATCATCTGGTCCTGTGTCAGCATGTCATCAGACGATCTTCAGAGCATTCAACAGGTTGGCACAGCCCTTGGAGTCAGAGACATCTCTGGGCTTCTGAGCCTCAGAGACCCTTGATATGGGCTGGAAACAGAACACAAACTGTAATGAGCCCTCTTTCCCACCAGCCTGGTCCCACAGCTGCGTCAGCCCCAAATAAACACACAGACACTAAATTAATTATGAAACCATTGGCCAGTGTCTTGGGCTTCTTATTGGCTAGCTCTGCCTTAATTATTAGCCCATAACTACTAATCTTTGTATTTCTGCACGGTCTTGAATTACCAGAGAATGCCTGGCTCGTGTCCTCTCTTCCCAGGCTCATATGTCGACTCCTCACTTCCCAGAATTCTCCTCGTCTCCTAGCGCCGCCTATCTTCCTGCCTGGCCAATCAGTGTTCTATTCATCAACCAATAAGAGAAACATATACAGAACAACATCTCCCATCGACAAACCCACAGATCTGTGAGAAAAAAGGCCCTGTGAGTGAGGACCACGCATAGTGCCAGACTCCCAGCAAATGCCCTCAATGTTACTATTCATAGTCACTGCACCCATAAACGGACTCAACAGGCTCTTTCTAACATCTACCCCGTGTTTCTCCCTTCTCCAAGCCTCCCTGTTTTATTTAAGATCACCAGACACATAAAATGCTCACCTTTCCCTTCTTTTCCACTCTTAAAATTTTTTTCCTAGCCCTTCAGCGTCTTTCCTTGATATCTTAGTCCATTCTGTGCTTAACATCTGAGGCTGGGTGATTTACAGAGAAAACTCACTCACCGCTCAGGAGGCTGGAGCGGCTGAAGTCATGGTGCTGGCAGCCTGATGTCTGCTGAGGCCATGTTTTCCTCCAAGATGGAGCCTTGTGTTTACCCCTCTGGGGAGAAGGGATAAATTCTCACAGCAAAGAGTAGAAGGCCAGGAGAGCCGGTTTCCTTCCAAACAGTCTCTTTCCAAGGCACCAAGCCCAGACCTGACCGTGGAGTTCCCGAGGCTAACTGACTCTAGAGATCCAGCTGTTTGTATCACTCCAATAGCATTAGATGTCAAGATGAGTTTGAGAGAGGGCAAACACGGTAACTGTGGTCATCAGTCCAAGGCATTACACTGGACACATGTAAGAAGAGATACAGGAATATAAAAGCCTACCATCTCCTGTAGGGATGGGCAGGCTGGTGCAGGTTGGCTAGGAAGCAACCGGTACAAATTCAAGCAGTTGCTTGAATGTGACCAAGGTGTGAATCTCCTGGGTGTTTGTTTCAATGATGCTCTCACCCAGGTCCACACAGGGTTGTATAAGAAGATTGTGAAAAGGAAACAGAAACTGAACCAGGCCTCTGTCACCAGAAGAGCAGTGGTGGGTATGCATCCCATAATACTTCCCATGGTACTTCATTTGAGAGCAGAAATGTAGTGGACCTTAACCACGGCAGCCTGAGAGGGAAAAGGGTCAAATTGGGACATCTAACATGATACCGTGGTGAAAAAAATCAAAATGCCTGCCCCATCAAGGCATAGTTTATGAAAGCGCACAAACACACAAATGTGTAATTTAAAAATAATGCACCTTCAGCGCTTGAGGTTGACAGCATTCAGGGAGAATGGAATGATGAGACGGGTGTGTAAAATGATTCACGAGGAAGCAGAGCAAGTTTGCCTTGCCCATGACACAGGAAGAAAGAGGAACTCACAATCTACATACGTGCTGGCCCTGGCTGCCTGTGTGTCTGGCGGACCTTCCCAGCTCCTCCCTTTCTGATGTTCAGGGGCCATTTCCCTCATAGGCTCCTCTCCCACCCCCAAGCCCATACTGTTTCTATGAACATGGACTTTCTCCTTTGGGAATCTGTCTCTGGAAATCCTGATAATGATCAAACCCCAACCCCTTCTCTTCTTCGACATCCCATCACCTCTGGATACTGAGCTCTCCTGTAGCAGAGATCACAGGGGACTTTAACACCATTTACTGCTTTGCAAAGGTACAAAATGAAAGATAGCAGCATCCATAGGATCAGACTGCATGGGTTCACCAGGGAAACAGACTACTCACCTCCTACTCTTGACATCTCCTACTGTGTTTTTCAAGGGTCTACTTAAAACCTCTTGATCCCCCATCACCTTTAAAATTCAGCATTTGGTTCTCAACTCAAGGCTAATGCACTTGGAAGATGAACTCAGAGTTGGAAATACCAGGAACATTTTGAGAAAACAATTTGCAAACTAATGACCCTTATAAATATTTTTAGATCCAGTAGATGAAAGCAATAAAGACAACACACCTAATAAAATTAGGTCTGTGGAGTTTTATGCATGCTAAGATAATGATAATGAACACTGTGAAGTTTGTTGTAATTTCCCACAGCCTGTGGTCCAGAATGTCTCCTCAGCAGCAGTGACTTGGCATCCCTAGTTCATAAATACTAAGGGTGATAGTAGCTACCACTGGCAGATTGTCCAGTCTGTTTCCAGATGTGAACACATCCTTTAACTCCACAGCAAAGAATTCCCATCACACAGCCAAGGAGACAGACAGTCAAAGGCAATAAAAGTCCCTTCCTCTGGGCCATTAGTCAGTCACAATGCAACTCAGACATATCCATGAACCATGAAGCATCCGTTAAGAACTTCTCCAACATGTATGACTCTCCAAGTAAATGTCCACTTGACACTATGACCTGAACCCCTGTGTCACAAGTAGGTGTGATTTACATAAATCAATGATTCTCAGATGTGCATTTTTAGCTTCAAAATATTTATTTATTTATTGGGAGTGTCATCACCACACACATGTATAAAGGTCAGAGCACAACTTTCACGAATTGGTTCCCTCCTTCTCCCATGTAGGTCCTGAAAATGGAGCTCAGGGTCTGCTACTCACTGAGCTATCTTGTCGAACATTTAGAGCCGTCAGTGGTGACAGGTGAGTGGGTCTGACCACACAGGTGGTTCTGGTCTGCCGCTGGAGGTGATACCCACTGACACGGACTCCAACAGTGCACCAGACAAACCCATGTGTGCCAAGACTTTTTCCTCATACAGCCACCCTTGGCCATCGCTTCTCTAAGCTAAATATAGTGATAAGTTTTCCATTTTCCCCTTCGTTTCAAGTAATTTCATCTCATACCTCTCCAATTCCTTCTTGTCCTTTTCAAACTATAAATCCCCGAGGTTGAAACCATCTGGAAGGACCTGAGGGCAGAGACTCACAGTAATGACAATTCCCCAGAGCACTACCACGACCACCAGCGCACTCTGGCCACTCAACACAGCAGGAGCCTGTTCCCCTAAACTCAGCAAGCTACCTTCTCCATGGCGACTCAAGGAACCAGGCTTCTTTGGCTTGACTGTCCTCTACAGCTCTGACCTCACTGGCAGACGGGAGAGGAAGGAACCCCACTTTGTGAGGAAGAGGCTGGGGATCACCCCTCGGGGACCTACACATCCTTTCTTCTAGAACTCTGCTGGAATCCAGTGTGGCATGGCAGGGCATCCATAGTTCGAGCTGTCCTGGTGGCTGAGATGAGAAAATTGCCAAGACCAGGAGCAAAGCGAGTTACCAGAATCAGGCCTCGAAAGTTATCGTCTACACCTATCTATAAAAGGGGTCAAAGTGCGTGGTTTTGTATGTCCAGAGAGAGTACAGAGTCTGTTTTGCCCAGAATGGTCAGTCCTGGAGCAGCTCTCAAATGTGGTACCCAGGACTAGAGGTCGGGATAGGGTTGTAGTAGGAACAGTAGGGAGGTAGGTTACTCTTGCCCTGATAGTTTTCTTAACTGTTCCGATGTGATCGCAGGCAAAGGTAGACAGAGGCACTTGGAGACACCCAGGAAGGCCGCTGAGGTGCTGCAGCCTTCAAAGGCAGAAAAGGGTAAATGCCTGGACAAGACCCGTGGGGCCAGCAAAGAGGGAGGGGAAGGAGGACCGCCTCAGAGGTGGGTGGAAAGCTTAGAATATCTGAGGAACATGGGAGAGGAGAGAACAGGTGACTGTGGCTGCCACTGTCCAGGACTGGGCGCCAAGAATATAGTGGTGGCCATTGTTAGCATAATCCCTGTTGGAGGAGTTCACAGCAGGGAAGGGAGCAGGAGTCAGGGAGGTGGGAGGAAGGGTGCATGGAGACATAGAAGAGTATCTGAAACGAATGCCTTCAGTTTTGGAGGCAGACCGAGGACTTGCGTCCTGCGGCCACATGTGTCTGCTTGGACCACTTGGTACTGATTCTGGTGGTGGGGTGAGGTGGCTATGCTTGGTTGTAAGACAAGGAGGGGTTTTAAAGGTCAGGCCTGGTTCTGACCTGCCACTGGCTGACAAGTAGGAGACTTGCCGGTTGATTTTAGTGTTTTACCATATGCATCGTTAGATCAAAGCTGTGACAACAAACAGCCTCTAAGACACGGTTCCACGGAGTGTGGGTCCTAGTTGAAAATGGAAAAAATCCCCCCAGAAATGAGAGAATACGATACAGCAGTATGCAGATAAGCATGTAGGGGTATATATATTTAATAATGAGATAAGTCGATGTCATCTAGCTAGCTGGAACATTCGTGTGTGGATAAATGAGTAGAAGGATGGATGATGGATGGATGATGGATGGATGGATGGATGGGAGGACGGATGCATAAACAGATGAAATGATAATGGATGAATGGATGGGTAAAATAATTATGGATGAAATGATGGATGTATGGATGAGATGATAGACGAGTAGATGGATGAAATGATAGATGGATGATGTGTACATGGGTGGGTGGATGGATGGATGGATGGGTGCATGGATGGATAGAAAGAAAGAACTTGTAAGACCTGTAAGGCTAACACTGACGTTTCAATTCTTCAGTCCATTTATTCCTCCCAGAATGTCTTCCTACTTCATTTTCTTGCTTTCTTCTTAAGATAAAAGCAGATAGTGGCTATTTTGAACTTTCAATAGAAACTCGAAACTTTTCATATTCCCATAGTTCTCACATTTCCACACCCCTCCCTGCCCCATTTTTAAAACCCTCCTAACCTATAAAAGTCAGTCATCTGGGAGCAGCTTTCCCAGCGTGCCTGACGGCAGAATCAGTCTGAGCTGCGTTTGCAGAGCCTTGCGCTGTTTGGTTCATGGCCTAAGCACCTCACGCCCTGTGACAGGGAAAGGCGGTCCCCTCCCCTCCCAGAGATTACAGGGTCTGCTGCTGAGGGCCTTCAAAGGCTTCCCAAATGTCCCCTTCCGTCTTCTCTCCTTTATTCCTTTTCATCCCCTCACACGCACCCAGAAGAAAAGAGTGGGAGGAGGAGGAGAAAAAAATTCTTCTCCAGATGACATTCCTGTTCATGCCGGTAGCCTTTAAACCCACATCGCCTCCTTCTGGCACTGAGTGGAGGTCTGGGTCTTCCGTCACGTGGCCACGGAACCGTTGGCCATGACAAATTCTGTCTTCTAAAGAGAGGCCCACAGCTGGCAGGTTCCGAGGTCAGCCACTCCAGTGCTTCCTTCAACATGCGATCAGATGGCACACACCAACTTGTGGGAGACGGGCCTTCTGCCCGTGGGGCAATTAGGAGGCCCCTTGGCCGAAACTCTAGAGAAACAGCCCTTTACCCACGGGGAAGGGAACTAAAGGTAGCATCGTGAGCTGTATAGCAATGCCCCTAACCATACTGTGTGCCTCCTAGTCATGAAGCCATCATTTTTCAATTTTTTACTGTGGGTCCAGCACCTCTATAAAATCTGAAAAAGTAGGAATGGCTCCTCTGTGAGGTTACGGTGGAGAACACTGGATTCCTAATGAGATCCTTGCCCACACGGTAGAATTAGCCAGCAATGGCAGCGGGCACTGAGTCCAACTTCACATAACTACTGAACAAATGAGAGTGAGACCCAGATCCATTGTCAAAGCACAAGTGGATAA